ACCTCAACAACTAGAAAAGATTTAAATAATGCTTTATGCATGACAAAGAAAAGGTAGGAACCCAGGAATACAGTAGCAGCAACGAATCCAGTGTTATTGGTTAAGCACTAGATTCTTGGCTGCTTCTGTATTCCCTGGGTTCCTACCTTTTGTTTGATACGCATAAAGCCATAGTTTAAACATTTTTTATTTTGTACTGCCATTTTAGGTCATTAGGGTTCATTAGAGGTCATTAGAAGGTTAATGACTGGGTTTTTGGCTGCTATAGTATTCCCTGGGTTCCTAGCTTTCATTTGATCAGCATAAATCCATAGTTAAAAATATTTTTATTTTGTAGGTCATTTTAGGTCATTATAGGTCGTTAGAGGTTATTAGATGGTTAGACACTTGATTCGTTCCTGCTGCTGGATTCCTTGGGTTCCTATTTTTCTTTTTGATATGCATTAAGCCATAGTTGAATTATTTTCAATTTGTTAAGGTTAATACAGGTCATTAAAATTCAATTTTATTTTATTTTAGGAATTTTGATTAATAATTAGGCGTGCAGCCAAAAATTTGAAAGATTTAAACCAGAAATGAAAGCAAGCCACCCTCACACTTAAATTAAATAGGACATTTCCACGATTCTTTTTAGTTAATTTTATAGGAGAAAGTGATTCAGAGGAGATTGTTATTATAGATGAAGATAATAAAAGATTAGAAGATGAGAACAATATGCAAGATATGGTATATGATGTGTCTCTGCCCTGTGCCACAGTGCTGCAATTGGAGGTTGCTAAACCCCCATCACTCGTCCATACAGAAATAGCTCATTTACAGGTTGAATTTTAAAGATAGAAAATAGTCAAAAAAAATTTGTAAGGTTATAAGGAAAAACGAGTTATTTTTTGTAACAAAGTTTTAAGCCTTTTATTTTTCTTAGTCATTATATTAAATATTAAATCAAAGAATAAAACTTTATTACATGAAGATTTTATATAGACCTTATGACAATGACAAATTACATAAAGATTTTAGATAGACCTTATGACAATGACGTAGTATTTGTAAGAGGCAAAATTTGGGGAACAACATTCTATTTAAAAAATTTTCTGCGACATGTAAAGGAAGTTTACAGTTACATGTTTATTGTGAATGATAATGCTTATTGTTTAATAGGATGAAATTCCAATCACCGAAGTGCCTGATAGTCTTAATGTGGATTTAGGTAATAAAACTAAAGACATATTCACAGTAAATAGACACAAAACTAAATACAGGCACCACAGCCTCATAAATTTTAGAAATACTTTTAATTGCATGCATTTTTTATATTTCCTCACTTTTGTCCAGATTTTAACAGTTAAATGTAATAGCCAATTTTTCAGTGACACAGCTGTCAACAGACACAATTAATAAACATCTGTTAAGAGTTGAGGTATGTAAAAAAATATTTTAAAAAATATTTTGTATTTTAACATTTATCCTGAATGTTGGGTTATGAGTGGAAATGGTGTTATGTGGGGTGGGTTGGAGAGTGCGTGACACCAGAGCTGAAAACTTTAGAATGTGATATCCTTAATCCTGATATGTTAATTAATCTGGAGATTAAATTTATGAGGAGAACAAGGAATATTTAATCTGGAGATTAAGAAAAAGAGTGGATCAAGCATTAATTCTGATATCCAATATTCTAAAGTTCCCAGCTCAGTTCTCATTAGATCACTGAGGTTAAGCACACTACAGCCAGTAATTGGATTGGTGTCCAGACTGGTTTTTAAGGGTTCGATTGCCGTATTCCACACAAGCCTGTTGTTTCAAAAACATCTGAAGCCGACATCTGGTTAAGCAGTTACAACCACCTGACGGAAGTAGGAGGACAGAGGGGCGGCTGTCAGCAATTCTCAGAGCTAAAGGGTTCGTGCTTTCTACTCAACTAGAAAGAAGCTTTAAGTAAATTGATCCAAGTGAATGATGATAAAAAGAGGAATGGTGGAAAAGTAGGGAGAGTCTATGGTTGCCAGCTGGGGGTATCCGATCCGGGCCTAGAGATGTTAGGTAGCAATGAGTTTGATGTTTCCTATCAGTATGGCAACCGGGCTTCATTCCAATATATCACAATATTTCCTGCACTCTATTATTCTCTGGCCTAAAAACCCCTTAGGCCGGCATCGGGAATCTTGTCAACCCTCTGTTCAGTATGAATGAAGCGTGGCTGGATGAATGTGCTGCCAGATTACAACCCCTGGTAGATCAATATAAAAACCCAGACAACACAAAACTCTCATAGTAGAAAAATTCCTAAATTTGATCATAACAATCCAATCATGTCCTGGGGACCCAAAAAATCTGTTTAGAAACGATGGTGTTGCATGAGTCTCATTTTTTGTTGTACAAATCTTGGGATAAGAGGTTTATATTTTCTAAAAGTTACTATCAATCAGGAAGAGGTTGGGGGGTTGAATTTTAATGTGCTAGGAGAGTAAATGCAAAAATTGGCAGTTGATGTTAAATGTTTCATAAAAACCTGAAAACATCCCTTAATTTTCATAATTTTTAAGGATACACTTAGAGCTTACAATTCAAACAAAGATGTCATCCAAATAATATCTTCGCCAAATTTATTCTCTTCTGGAAGAAAATTTGGACAAAAATTGAGCATGAACTGGAATCAACAAATCAGGCACAGATAACAAAGAAAATAAATAAAGAGTTGTTGAATTTAAAGAAGTTAAACTTTTAGCATAACATTTAAAACTATATATTTACTTTTTTGGTACTGGACTTGATTCATTGGGATATATGGTGTCGACGTGGTGCTATGGAAACGCCTCAACACGGAAACGCCTCAACACGGAAACGGACCCAAAAGTGAGTTTGGGTCCGTTTCCTTCTTTTTTCAAGAATTATCGGAAATCCCTCAAAAACTAAAAAGTGTTGAGGGATTTCCGAATATTTTGGGTCGGTTTCCGCTATATTTACATTTGATTCGTTTCCCGTTTTTTT